TCAATAAAAATTTCCACGACATATTACTTAGGAGCTGCTTTTAATTTCTACCATACTGTAATACAACTCATTTAGGCTAATTTATGGGACGAAATGGCCGTCCAGTGCTTCCAGGTTTTCCATGGTGGTCTAGCTTCAGTTGACTCATGATCTAAACTATTGAAATTGTGATTGTTTAGTTTATTGGACAAATCAAACACTTCGAAGATCAAATGTCATTTCATCAACTATTCTACTGTGAACATAATTAACGAAATATTTAATTATTTTTTTCTGAACTATACTTTTTAATATTGTATAAAGAATATAGATATATTTTGAAATAAACTAAATGTACGTAAATACTAGGTGATGTAAACAATTCTGGCATCATTAAACTGCCAAATTCTATTTTTATCACAACACAAATGTATCGATTTTGGAACTGATTTTCATGAAAATACTTAACACGTAATTTTCGTCTCTCCTCCTATCTAAACTGATCGCGAATACAATATAATGAAGCAGTTTATGAAAGTAAAGAACAAAGGTAAAATCACATGATATATCTAAATATTTTTCTAACATTAAACTAATGTAACAGTTGATTAGGGCCAATAATAATAACAACGACAACAAAGAATTTGTCATTCTATACATCATGTGGTATGCACTTCTTATGAGGACAGATATAAGTAGTATGTAGAAGGAATTGGAAGTAGAATGCTTACTAGTGGAAGAGTGAAATAAAAAAGGGAAGGAAAATGAAGAGCAATCAGTATAAAAACAGGATCGGAAGAATGATAAAGTATATAAAGGACAACTGAAGGAAGGTATGCAGATGACGTATTTAATGTATGATTTTCATGTTTTACAAAAGTACTGTTTGGTTTTCCTCGTTTACTACAATCACGATACTAATTAGAGACTTTACAAATAGTCACAGTGTGGTGACTGACACAGTTACATGAAAAAATATAAAAGTGAGAGATATGAACCCAATAAAAAGGAAGACAATATAAAATATAAAAACAGCTAAGTGTTGGGATGATCTGAAAACATTTACAGTGTTAACTAAGTTTGTTGTACCTAGCGTTTCAAGTCCTATTTTTTTCATTCATCTAGTGAATGATTGATGCATCATCAAAAATTTCATTTCATGTAACTAGATTTATTGGTTATGGATATGTTCAGTGTAACACAGATCGATACACAGAGAAAAAACCACAAATAAACGTTATAGCTCAAAATGAAATGTTTTATGGAAGTTAAATTTCAATATATAATACCCATTTACAAAATGAATAGGAAAATAACCAAAATTTCTGGATACAACAGAGGGAATAGCATTGAATATGTTACATATAACCTAAGTTGAATTATTCTCATGTCTTTATCTGATCATCATACTATCAACTTGGGAATCATTTAGTAGGAGTTGATTATTCATAAAATAACCGAAATGGATATAACTGACAACTCATGTTAATGATCGGTTATTAATATGTTCGAGAACAATCAATTAGCATGTCATTTATTCATTTTTAAAGTTTTTTATACGGCTTTATATTCTCCACTTGTGTTGTATATTTTTTTAGAAGACATACTTCATTTCTTCATATTATCATCACTACTGAAAGTCTTTGAGCTAAGCACTAGATAAGTAAAAGTTTTAGTGATAAGTCAAAGTCATACTCCATTCAATTGACTGATAAATTGTTTCATGTACAGATTTATATAGTCCAGACTGCGATTAGTTACCACAAAATCAAAAGTCTGTTCGGAAACTAACATTTTAAAAATACAAAAATTATATATTTTTAATTCATACAATGAATGGAGAATATTTCATTCCTTATAGGGAGAGAAATATGTTTGTCCAAATATTAACTCAGACTATTATTATTGTCATTATCATTCTCATCAAAAATTTAAAAAAGTAAAAGCCTGTCTTTAACCACCAGAATAGATCAAACATTAATAGATAGTTGGGACTGGTCGACAGGAAAAGCTGCTCGATTTAGGTTACGTGCTATTCGGCACTCCTCAGCGAGGCGTACCTGCATTCTTGAGGGAATCGATGCTACCTGGTAGGTTCACATCTTCGTACCACTACATTTCACAGCCTGAAACAATATCACAACTATTTGGCCAGAAACTAACATGTAGAAATGAGATGCATACAGCCGATTGATCACTGGGTAGTGACCAATATCATTTTTTATCTAACCCTTTACTGTTGGCTAGATCTTATCCATAAAGTGTTGATGTGACGACTAGACCAAGTGACTCTACATCGTGTTCACTATTTTTGATGTTAAGTGGTTGGAGGTAATCGGCCACATTGAAGTTTGATAGGGGAATTAGATCAGCATAATATATATTCTTAAATAATTGAAATAAAGTTGTTATTGAAAGAATGAACAATTTATTGTAGTTTCACATCTCAGATTACATAACTCTGCCTGTAGCTCTTCTAGGGTTACTGCCGGTTCCAAACCTGGGTAAAAGGGGAGGAAAGGATATGGGGTCAACAACCCCATCACGTAGGAAACAACCTTGCTAAAAAACGCTCAGACTACATACTGATTGTTTTTCAGTAATCATCTATATACAAGTTGATTTCAGTTAATTTCAATCGATTCCATCCAAATATGTGGTCCAGTTTCATGATAAAAATCATTACAACTGAACAGAATAACTCACCAAAACTGTAGAAGAATATATTATTGCTACATGAAGAGTAAACATGAACTAGTCAACTTGGCGATGTGATAATTCCTGAGACAAGCAAATGTAAAATAATAATAAGAATAATAATAATAATAGGGATAGAGAAATTAATTGTTCTTTAAAATGTAGATTATTTAATTTTAAGAAAATTAGTTAATTAACTTCGAACCTTATTTCATAAATTTAACTGAATAAATATGGGAAAACTGTTCAATTTGATTAAAATTAAATTTAGAAAAGAATCAGTTTCAAGAGAGGAAAAAAATGAAGGGAATCTGGTTAGTTAGTTTAAGCAAAGTGAAGTGATTTTTAAGCAAAGATGGATAATGGCTAGCAGTGGAGTCTAGGACGCGCGTTTCGTCCCATTTGGGACTTGTCAGCTGGATGTACCTGCATCGCAGAGTTGATCTTCACTTCGGGACTCGGACCCAGTACTGTTCGCTTCAAACGCTATCATGATATCGACTTAGCTACTGAGCCCTGATAGCCACCTGCTTTTGCAATGGGGTGACGTTTAAATTCACTTGGTGATCTTTAGAAATACACTGCTAATGATCATTTACTGTTAAGGTAAACCGATAGAGTGCTAAACTGAATAACATCAGAAGTTAAATTATTAACGTCACCAACCACTATGAGTGATTTTAAAATGTTAAACTGGTACCTTTTTTTTAGCTGAAAACGAACTCCTCAATTGAAATACCAGAAACAAAGTATTCAGACAGTCATATTGTTCAACTTACTACCAAGTGAGTATTTATCAATTAATATAAACTTCAGCTGGTGGAGTTTTATGTAGATTGATTTAACTTGTAGGTCATGCCATTGAAAACCAGTTGTTTCGTACTGCTATAAGATTTTAGTGAACATCAATTCTAGGATGCAGGTACATCTAACCAAAGACGAGTTCTAAATAAGATGAAACTCCCGTCTTGGATTCCACTGTTAGCCAACATCCATCTCTCCTAATAATTTTAATACTATAAATCGAGTTATTACTTAATATTTGTCTGTATGAAAAACCAGTTAAGTAAAGATGCTACTCAGATTCATGTGATAGTGACAGTTGATCATGACAGTAACCATTTGTTTTAATCCAAAGAGAGTACAATGCAATTCTAACACTAAGTGCATAACTAACTCCCTTCACTGAAGTATAACTATCTTATATACTTAGTAACTGATGTCATTAATTTCTATACTGTTAACCTCAAGTATACATAATAATAAATTTACGTTAGTCACAATTCAAATGTTGTTACTACCAGAGTATCCACTTACTAAATGAATTTGATTGTACTTAGAATATAAAATTGATTTATGAAACTAAATTGGATTTATTGGAAATAAGGTGAGTTGTTATTTCTATAAAAACTTATTAGTATATGACTGATTACTATTTAAAGTACATTTATAAGACAGAAAGACTTTTTTTTAAAGTCAAGATTAATAATAAGTACAAAATAAGATCACAAAAATATTACTGAAATAGATGAACGACATATTTCATTTAAAATATATAATCACTGGGAAAACTTTGAAGAATATATTGTTGAATGACTTTATGACTTAATATAGATTAATTCCTAACTAAATAAATGATGGTTAATATACTCAGTATTTTCGGTTATTTTCTTCAACTATTCAATGAGTGAATGTTACTGATTGAAGCGTAATTTATACTAACAATTTCATTTCAAGCCTCTGAATGTATACAAAACTATGTACAATCAACATCCCAGTGTAGCGCAGCGTAACATCATGTATGTAAAGCATATATATAGTTAAAGTGAGGGTTTGAAATGAAACATTAAAAATGAAAACTATACTCTTATGTGTAGCAGCTTATTATTAAATGAGGGGGAAAATGGTCGAAAGTACTGAATACAACACAGTTATTGAATAATGAAAATGTTGAGAATAACCTCAATCAGAATAAATGGAACACTTTTTTCTAATAGTCACATACTGAACTTTGAAAATCCAGTCGCCTAAATATCACATGTCATACATTAGATACTAAATAGTAAAAAAGGTTAAGATTATCCATTCTGAATAAGTTCCCAACTAATGATGACACAGATACATATTGATGTTTGTCACTGCACTAACTTTTTTCAAATGATACCAGAGCGTTGCTAGATAAATAATTAATAAACCCATAATAGTTACGTAACTTAAAACATTGATTTTTATTCTTTTGTTAATGATAAGTTAAAAAAGCAGCACTTTCTAAAACAAAGTTTTACCATAAACAGTAAAGTACAAAACAAGAAAATTAAACTTACCGAATAGAATCTTTATCAATAGCTGGTGATAAATGCTCAAAAACAACTTCTGTAATATCCGATGCATTGAAACGTGGTCTAATACGTCTACATATAAGTGCACGATCCAAAAATACTGTAAGTTGTGACATTTGACATTCAAACATATTATATACTTGTCGAGATCTATCCAAACCACCACCAACTAAAGCTCCACTTTTTCCAGGGCCACCACCAGCATTTCCACTGCTGTTAGCACCAACACCTCCATTTGTTCCTCCATCAATAGGATTTTGGCCAGTTTTAGGATAAATAGTAGAACCTTTCTGTTGACCTGCTACTGTTCCAGATCCAACTGGAGGGCCACTAACATTTCCGCCTGTAGGAACTACCACAGAATTATTCGATGCTATATTTCTAGCGAAGTGATGTGTGCCACCTGTTGTTATTGTATTTGTTTGATGATGTGATGAATATTGATCACTTAATACATCGCCAGTTTGTGGATTTAGAATTAACATCTCTTGTTGTTTAATCAAACCAGCTTGATGATGCATAATATATTGTTCAGGTCGTAGTGGTTGAAGGGAACCAATCACGCTATTTCGTTAATTTAAAAAAAAATTATTATTCAAGTCCCTATAGTTATCTGCTAAATAATAGTACAAAAATTTTAATAGCCTTTTTATGAGTAAGAAACGTGTGTATTCTTGAAATTCCAGGTTAAACTAAAAAAGGATTCAAACGATTTGTAGAAAAGTCATTCGTGAAACATCTTGATCTAGTCGCAAGCACAACAGCAATAACGATCCATTTTAAATGTGGAATCGACGTTAAGTAATAACAGAATGTGAAATTAAGAACATTTAAAAACGAGACACACGAAAAAGTCATGTGACAGACTAAATTTATAACCAATAGTAACAAATTGTGTGGCACACTACATATCAGTAGGCGTGTAAACTACACACATATGAATCTACACAACCACTCTATTATGTTTTATTTGGCTACTCCTGACCAAATTAAGGTAAAAGTCTTCATTTACATATCACAAATACTACCTAATAACAAATGCAACAATAAAATACAATAATGAGTCTGATGTATGAGATTTTCAATACTGGTTGCAAAAGACTATGAATGACTATCTATGATTGACAGTAGCAACAGTAATGGTTTTCAGAGCTCCACATTATGCTGAAGTCTTCAATCATCATTTTAAAGACCAATCGCTGTCTCACAATTTTCAATCTTTTTACTGTTAGGATTTAAGTAATTTAGTTCAAACAGTTATAGACATGAAAAATAAGTAAACATCACAATATAATGTTTGATTCCTGTAACACGTTTTTACGTATTGATAAATCATAAATCACTGTTCTACACATGGTTAGTTATCCATCTTAGGCTACTTTATTCTTCATTTCATATTGATCGAAACTCGAATCTATCTCTCCGTTTCAAAGAGAAATCTTAATACTTTGTATTTGAACTGTTCCTATTTTCATAATGAATTGATTTTGAACAAACAAACATTTAAAATTGGAAACACTCAGTACGTTTAATCTTAATTTTGTTCAAATACTTTGGAACGCTGGAATCTATGGCAAACTTGTAACATGACCATTAGATTAGGTTCCACTAGATGAAACTTTAAACTAAAATCGTTTTGTAAGAAAGAACTAAGTGTTTATTCTGAAGCCCGTAATTTACAGATTTAATTCCAATGATCAAGAATTATAAGGTTGTTCCGTCGTAAAAAAAAATAAAAAACAGGACTAAAAGGTTATTTGATAGACCTTAATGCTTTTTAGCAATTTTAAGCAGATGCAGAAATATACTAGAAATCAACGATACAGTTTTACTTTGGTTTTAAACTTTTGTCTTAATATTTCAACAACTATTACCAATTATTCCCCCATCCCATTGTTTTCTTCAACTATCCTTTCTTATCAGCATATCACAAGTATCTAATTTATTTCCATTTTCGTCACCTCTGTTAAATTGTAGTTGGAAGTAATTTACACATAGAGGAATGCACATATCAAAATAATTTAAAAACTGGTGGGAAATAAAAATGACTGATTGACTGTTTCGCTTTCGTTCCGGAATTTTCAGAAATATGCTCTCTAATTTTGTATTAAATAAACGACCTTTCATTAATTCGATCCAGATTTTTAATTACCGCCAACTAGCTATTTCTCGTGATCTTCATTGAAATCAGGAGGAAATAGTTGTACATATTTCAATGATTTCAGCTACCATCTACTAGTTATAATGAAAAGAAATTAACTTCCCATAAACCTGCCTTAAATAAAGAATAATGATAAACATAAGGCTGTCGATAGAAAACTAAACTGAATTCCTCTTAGTTCTACCAAAAAGTCATGTATGTATTGTTATGAGTTAAGCAGCAACTCTAACGGACAACAGTGAATAAAGATCATGTTGTACTATGAAACAGATCAACATATATAAGCAAACTATATTGTTTTCAGTTAGATCTTCATCAGGCTTTAATTATGTAGCAATATTTATATGAGTATATGAAAAATATTAAAACTACATCAATCTGTGTGAATGATAACAATAAAAAAGTATTACGTAACCAGTTCTGACAGGTAAAAGTACAAATTGATATAGAAATGATAGGTTTATTGGTAGTGATAACAATAACAAACAGTATGATAACGGTAACAAGTATATTGACACGAGAAGTAGGCCAAAGCTTGGAAGAATAAACTCGTCAAACTAGTCATATGAAGCTCAGTAATGGGAGATGCTTGGATAGTCATTTAAAGTATGTAGATAGTAAAGAAAACAAGTGAAACGATTGATGAACACAAAGAATTAATAACACCATCTATTAAGTCTTCTCTGACCAAGTGAGGAACAGAAAAATAGCACAAATGGCTTAAATCCCTGTGACTTCTGCTCTATGTGTGGGATGAGGACAAAAACCCAAGCGGAAACATCTGCAAACATTTGATAAATCACTATAAGTGTTCACAATCGACTGATTACTGAGCGGTGATCAATGTCATATGTGTCAGGTCCTTTTTAGCATAGATCGAATGTTATTGACCAAGTTGTAATGTGGCCACTAGTCTATGTGACTCCTCATTGAGTGCTCTAGGTTTCCTGTTGACTACCTCCAACTACCATCTTATCTCAATGTAAGTGTTTTGGTTCTACCTTCTACATAACTACTATTGAGTAAGTGTAATGGAGTTAATCATATTTGAAGACATACAGCATTGGACTATTCCCCAGTGGGCCGATCAGGCATCAGACAAATGATCAGTTCACTCAACCGCCCAACATGCAGCCTTTTTCCTAAGGAATGAGACACTGCATTGATGAAAAAATATGGCTTAAGCTTTTTTTGGATTATATGTATAAAATTCCTCACTAAAGTAATCCGTTGAGCTTGTAAATAAAAGACTTGTTTATCAGTATCGGATATCGTATTCAGTAATTAGAGTAATGTTATTACCGTAATAAATAAAGGTTATGTGTACAAAGCGCAGTCGAGAGTCCCATCCAATAGTTGCTTCATATGTTGATATGTATCATTAAATTCTCTGAATGAACATTTAACCATGTGATATATGGACATAAATAACGACCTTGTATTTTCTATTGTTGAGTTATTATTTATCAATCTAAATCTTTGACTTATCATTCTCTTGATGAACTGTTTTACAGATAGAGTAAGCCGTCGTCATCACATGAGATTGGTGATGTCTTTATCATCAGTTTATATTCAAATAAACAAATAACATGTTTTCACTCTCCTTTAACTTGGTTATTCGGAATTAAGCAGAAAAATAGATGTGAGAATAATTACTTTTTAACTATCAGTCGGAAACAACCGTAAAAAACCTGAAAAAACATTAGGATTTAATTCATTTTGTATTGGATGTTTGAATCTTTCCATTGATGTCTAGAATTGCAACTGATCAGTCTCTTATCGGTATATGTGCTTCCTGTTCGAATTGCCTCGATATTACCTCAACTCACAAGCATTATGAGCAAAGATGGATGGTGGTTAGCGGCGGAATCCAAAACGCGCGTTTCATCCTATTTGAGACGGCGACGGTTCCGAGTCTCTGAGTGGATATCAACTCTAGAATGCAGGTACATCTGGCTGACGAGTTCTGGATTCCACTGCTAGCCACCATCCATCTATGCCTATAACATTAGGATTTGTTATAGCTTGCATCATAGACTAATCCCAGATGATTAACCGATGAGATGAGTAACACTAACTTTTAAAAAAATTACAAAATTCTAGGGGGAAGTTGTGACAAAGTTCAAGAATTCATTGAAACTAAAAATGTAAACCGTGAAACCCGTAGATGATGAAGCTTGCTAATTTAGGTTCAATGCTTTTTCTTACTCGTTATCCTTAATGAAACTTAACCCAGAATGTAAATGGTTTTCATAATCAATCAGCTGAACAACTAGTTTGTGTATATTCAAAAGACATATTGGTACACTAAACATCACATGAATCGAACCTACTCAATTTCCGTAGAAAGCTATTTCCAGATTAATCCATTTTACAAGCAAACTAATTGAACTGTATAATTTTTACAATCAGTTAAACTCATTGTCATAAAATTGATTAATTTGAAAAGTATTGACCAATGGTTGCTTTCCGACCCAGCTAAATCAAATTAATCTACTCACTATGAAACCTTAAGGCCATGTTACACATTTTCAGAGAGTTGTTTTCTGTTAAATCCCAACAACATAGAATAAATAAATTACTAATTACTTTCCACGGTGTTTACTAAATATTATTGTTGATGACGGTTCATAACGAAACCATAACAGTCAGTTGATCAATAATAAAACTAATGAAGTTAGGAAAATCATTAACTTGACAGTACTTACTCAGGTAAGTAAGTAATAGAGATTTCATCGGTAAAAATATAGATTATACAAAGGATAGGATTTCCACATAAATATAAGACATTGTTAATTATCTGATGACCAAAGAATCATTATCTTTTCAGTTCAGAAGAATGACTATGAATATGTAATATACTGAGAATGTGTAAAGGTATATATATATATATATATATATATATCCTTCATCCCAGAGTGCACCATTTATTGATATTGATCCTTTGAAATGACGAATGGTTATCGTTCCAATACTTAATTTTTTAAGCAGAGATGGATGGTGGCTAGCAGTGGAATCCAGGATGCGCGTTTCGTCCCATTTGGGACTCGTCAGATAAATGTGCCTGCATCCCAGAGTTGATATTCCCTTCGGGACTCGAACCCAGTGCCGTTCACTTCAGACGCCATCGCGATATCCACTTAGCTACTGAGTCCAGATAGTCACTAAATTGTCTATAGTGCTTTTGACTTAATGCGATATCGAAGCAATCCGAACAGGAAGCACATGTAAGAGACTAATCAGTTGCAGTTCCAGGCATCAATGGGAAGATTCAAGCAAACAATACAAAAGTGAATTAATTCTTACTTTCAGAAAAAAAGGAGTAAAGAAGAGTATTCGCAGATCAGTTAGTTTTGAAGATTGCATTAAAAGACGTTATACACACGAGTAAAAATTTCCCTCAGTACTTTAGTGTGGAAAATGCCAAAGAAACAATCCTTATTTTAAGAAATCTATCGTAAAATGTTGGTCATAATAAGCGGGGTAAAAAATTTGATGAGAAAATAACTACTAAACTAGTACTATAGTTTCGATGTAGAGGCTTTTTGGAGATTTGTTAGTATTCGTCATAAATCGTTTTCAGTTCGAGTCCCAGTGGAAACAGAGAGCACTTAGCGGATATTCTGTGCTTGAATTAGAATCCTCAGGAGTGTGTACTCAGTTTTCTACCGTTAATTTAACCTGAGAGCCTCAAATCCCTCATTGAAACTTGAACCACTAGATCACTAAGTTGGTATCCAACGGCAGATATTTCCATTTTCAAACAATTCGTAATATGGAACTGCAGTTTATAACTGTTCAACTCTCAAAATACCTGGTCTCTAGTGACCACCACTTCTGACCATAAGTTCAGTGAATTATTTTCATGTAATTTACTTATGAGATAATGGTCGTGGTTTCGATGTACGAATATTGTGGAGACACGTTTAATTTGAACGTGGTTCTCAACGTGGTATGACTTAAGCTAGATACTATCAAAAATCAGGGAGTACTGGGCAGTTGTTCTGCCTAGTATGAGACAAAAGGTTAAGTAATGGCCACGAAATTTTAAGACCCCGGACTCAAGCCTTGTCAGAGAGTCACATACAAAGAAGAAACAACTGTCCAGTGTTCCATGGTTGGAATTCAGCTACGTCAACTTTGCAATTACTAAACGCACCAACTATGAAACAGCTAGAGAATTTGTTAAACCCGAGATTTAAATTAAATGTTTATAAATTGTTATGTACAGCAAGAATGAATATATAGTTTCTATGAATTTCGCGTAATGTATATCATTTATACAGCTCATATGAAGCTCAAAAATTAATGAGTGAGGTTTTTTTATTCATTTATCCCACTTTTAAAGATGCTTTAATCAACCCAAAACGTCCAAATTAACCACTCAGAAAACAATAACTTTCAAATTATGTCAGTCAATCGAATCATAGTAACATTCACTTGTTCATTCAAACAAAATAACCAATTCTGAGACAGTAAATGTATTCTGGGTAATCAATTTTCACCACATATATAGAAAATAATTGTCAAAAACATTGTTCGATCAAAATTAATTCATATTTGCGTGTAAAATATCAATCAACGAAGTTGAAGTTGAGCTAAATCATTAGTTTTAAGTAACCACAAAAATATGTGGTTGTCCCAGTCCATTAAGAAGCTGCATTGTAGATACTAGTCTGAAAATTTTCCAGTAAAAATACCAACTTACAGAGAAGGATAATGTGATGTAATGAATGAAATATAAATCAACTTTATAATTGTCAATTTCTGAGTGCTAATGTTTTAACATTTGCTTTATACTTGTAAATCCCAACAGAATGAGTTTATCATTTGACATCAACTGATCAACTTCGTTTAGTATTGTGATAAATAGGCGCCTGTAATAGATATAGTCATTCTACTTCTAGCAACTCAATCCGGTAGCTCCATGCTGATGAGCCTTTGCAAAGACTTAATAACCAAATTGTAAATAATGTGTAAATTTTGCAGCCTAAACGTCAATGAAATGAGTGAAAAAAGGAGTCTAAGATGTTTATCTTTCATATGCCACTACACAATGAAAACAATCTTATAGCAGCCAACTTAACAGAAGTAAAGTATATGGACAAACCAATCAGGTTTTAGTCAGCGTCTCCTGAGTTTTGAAGCAAAATTCATCCATTCATATGGTTACAAAAGATGTCATTTCAGAATAAAAACCGGAATAATTCACGTATGAAGGTTCATCATTCATGTCAAATCTGCTTATCGATTGTAATAATTTCGCCATTTTTTACTAAGAATCATTTTATAATCGAATATTCTTTTCCGATTGCCTTGTAGATCACTCAAAATCATCCATATACTTTACTTCTATCACTAACTTGATCTTGGAAACAACCTTGTGAAAAGAATAATTCACTTAGGAATAATTAAAAACGAGACGACACTATGACTCACTTCTTTTTCTCTAAATCTTCTTTGATTTGATTAAACGATAATTTTTGTTGATTTTCAACATTTTGAATATTTAAACATTCCATATTTTGTTCAGCAACCAATTCATTTTTGCCATGTTCATTTTTCAAAATGTCTTGATCCAATTCTTGTTCTGAATGCGATGGACACGTAGAATCGTGATAACTTTCTTCTGTTTTCATGTTAGTATACTCTGATCGATCATCGTTCATGGGAATATCCTCATTACTATTATTATTTCCACTAATGTTTTCTTTAATATCACCTGGTAAATATTCATCTTCTCCACCATTTAATCTGTTTTGATATTCACCATGATTCATATGATTTAAATGTCCAAAAGAACTTTGAGCTGGTGTATTGTCAATGCCATACGATGGATATGAAATGTATGATTCCCGATTGAGTTCCGATTGATCAGCCGTAATATCAGATACACCAACTGTAGTACTCATTGATGTATCACAATTTAAAGTGTTTAGTGTTAATTCTTTTAAATTATCGTTATTGTTACTAGTATTTGTAGTATTATTCACAGATTCACTTAGAGAATCAATTGATAAAGTATGTTTCGATGGTACAACTTCACTAGATGCAAATGAGTTTCGATAATTAGTATCTGTCAAGTGATTTGGTGAATCGGTTAGTACTGACGATGTTACAGACTTTACGAACAAAGCGCTAGAATGTGTTTCGTCTAGTAGTTCAGCGCCAATTGTAGAACTACTATTTCTACTGTGCTCGTCCACTACTACTACTTCTTCTGGACAAAATTCAGTAGACGATAAGGAATTCGAAATTTCAACAGATGATTTATTTCTGTATGGTAGAAACGTCTGAGAATTTTCTGATTTACCAGGATCGTTTATTGCTTCCTCGATGCAAACCGGATTAGTTATTTCTTCGTCAAGATCAGACGATCTATTAACTTGTTTCTCACTGGTAGATAATGTAGGAAATTCTTTTTCTACGTAAGATGATTTGGTTGCTTCGTTTTCAGGATTCAATAAACTGATTGATTCTTCTTCAAAGTCAGGCAATTCTGTTGATTTTTCTTCAATGTTTGTTTTGTCTTTCAGTTCGCATATACTAGTGAGGTCGTTCTGTTCGTCAACTCGAACCTCTATATCAATACTTTTTTCTAAGTAGTCAACGGATTGACTATTCAATTGTTCTCCAGTAGGCTCTTGTAGTGAATTTTCAGCGTCTTCCTCTGTTAAGTTTTTTGTAGATGGGATGGAATCTGAAGAAAAACTAATTGGTTCAACTAAGTAATTATCACTTATTTTATCTAGAGTTTCACCTACAATTTGTCCAATTTTAGTATCTGTACGATATTCAGGTATCGCTTGTGGTTGGTGATTTGACAATAATTCAGATTTGATACAATTTTCTGGAATTACTGAAGGTGTCAAAGGAAATGCTGGTAATTCTCCAGTATTCTCTTTATGTAACTCTTCATGAACTGAAATCGGAGGTGATGGAAGGTCGTTGTCGAATACTAAGGATCCTTCGTCAACAGCTATATTCAATTTTTGATCACAAGTAACTTGATCCAACTCAAATTCTTGTTCTTTCGAAGAGCAATCAGCGTGATCTTCCTCAAAGAACTCACCTGACTCTACTAACACGATATCACTTTTGTCACAATCTTGACTGGCAATAACTTGTTCTACTTCTTCAGTAGCCAAAGGTGGGGGTTGATCACCTAATTTATATGCCACTTCCTTATGGTCAACTGACCCGTTTTCTGTTTGCTGAACAGTTGTGACCTCCACGATTGTAAATCAAACAAATGATTGTTTATTTAATAAGTACAGGGAATTTCGAGATATATTTGATGGTAACAAGATTATTACAAAACAATTCCCAATATATATATGATTTAATGATATTAGAGTTCAGTAGTGAAGCGATCACGAAGTAAAGATATTGCCTAATGTCATATAATCTTTAAAAGTAAGAAAAAGAATAAATAAACGTCATGATGAAATAAACAAAGATAAATTTGAGGAAAAATTGCTTAAAATAATCTGATTCAATATGGAGAATAGTTTTATATTGATTCCCTTACTAACTATAAAGAGGTGGATTAGCAGATTTCAACGACATAGTTACAGATTCAGAAGATTTACCTATGTTTTTATGTAGGCAGCTGGATGATATTTTAAAAGGTTTGCAATTAGTTATTATTGCATGCCTGAAAATTCAGTTAAACAGATCTAACTAACTCTAAAAAGTGGATTAACTCCTCCTCCGACATAAATATTAAAACAAATCTGTCGTCCGAAGTTGAAACTTGGAAAACGATTTATAGGCAGATACCTTTATTAGATATTCCAGATCCACGGACAAGAAACCAGCTGCCGATCATTTCAGCCATATTCTAAGTGCATATTTTTTGTGACATCAATCATGAGAAAGGGACATTTTATTTCATAGCTTCCAAAAAAGTATTATTTCACTAAACTAGTAATATTGAGAATCTATTTTATGTTCAGAGGAGGGGATATTGTATAATAGTAAAGGAGAACACAATTTTTTTATATTATTGAACTAAATGTTTACTATTCTATCTTGTAATCAAAATAATAGTAGTCATATACTTTGGGTGTGGTAATTACACATTGATCTGTTGTTTAAGTTCTATCAGTACCTAATGACCTTTAGTCATTATTATACTTATCTATGTTTGACAAAAAAGTTTCTTTTTATGTGATATAATCTATAACTGCAAATTGCCTGTTGGGTTTACGTTGAGATGTGTTTAACATCATTAATCATTTCTTTTAATTTCCTCCAACAACCACCGAGAAATGAAGAAAAAACACTACTACTTTAAACCTCTTTCAAGGACAACATGAACTATAACTCGTTATAGTTATCGTTTTTGATGAACATCCTATGCACGTGTTGATATGATACGATCAACAATTAAATTCCACATCCAGAGACATGTGTTCATTAGATATTTAATGAACCCTGATTACGATCTAAACACAGGGGATTTTGCAGAGATTGGTTTAATTTGTATGTTGTATTGGTTACAGATTGATTTCAGTTGGGATGCTATTAAAAACCAGGGAATATTGGGTAGCTGTTTCCGCCTAATATAGAACTTCTCGGCAATACTTGCACATGACCCTACTAAGAGTCAAATCCAGAACCAGTCGGTCCCGCAGTAAACTATTAACAATTAAGGCCACTGGGTCGGTGTTCAATGATGCCATTCCAATTTCAATCAGTTTGCGATACACTGAGACGACATCGAATACCATTGACAGAGACGGCTCTACTCTCGTGTGATAAGGCAGTTCCTATGGGAGCGATTGAGGTATCTAATGCGACTGGTGATTAATTCGCCGAGATCACCTGCATAGGACCAATGCCTTTTCTTAGACCGATGACTCCAATGACAGAGAAATAACGACTGATATCAGTGATTAACACCTATTTGTCCGGGGCGGAGTTTCTCTTGCTTACATGATAGCCAGAACAACAATACAGCAAACAAATAAAATTCTATTGTACAGATTAGTTCACTAAACAGACTTGTGTGATAATGTAAATTAACTTTTGACCGTGAACGAACATAAATAAGAAATTACAATATAGTCGTAATTATACCATAAGTTCAAATGAAACCAGAACAAACATGGATGTAGTATCATATGAATTCATTATATTTTTGTGGTTTCTAATCAGCTGCTTGCAACCAGTTATGTAATGAAAGTTTACATTGAGGCAAGATATAATGTAAAACAATTAATATTCTCCACCATCTCAAATATATATATATATATATATATATATATATATATATATATATATATGCAGGAACAGGTCGAAGGTCATTTGGTGTTGGGATTCAAAAACAGAAGGGGTGGGTGATGCGTTAATTAAGTAAGGTTCAGAGACAGATAAGATAGATTGTGTGATAATTTTAGAGGTACATACATTTAATGTAATATATTTCAGAACACCGATTGAAAATTTTCAGCAAATAAAGTGTAACTCAGCATGATATTAAGTAAATGATGACTGACTACTGATTTAATTAAAAGTAGGCTCAGCAGCTTACGACGAAAATGATAAGGTCTGTAATATCAACTTACCTGTGTAGTTTCAATATATCATAGAGGTTAAAAACACTTTTAGCAACTAATTAGTTTCATACATAACAAAAAAGAATTAAAATTAATCCAGAATAATAGTTCCTTAATAGTAAAATTAGATATTTGTATTATTCGCAAATGGTAGAAATATCAACAACTGTGATAGTATGTACATACATTGGATGGATAGTCTTTTAAATTATTGAGTAACATAGGTTCTATGAGTTTCCTACCTTTTTCCATGGCACTTCTTATTCAGGAAACCTTGTTTCATAGCATACATATACGTTTCCTTTAAACTGTTTTCAAATCATGCAGTATCATAGATTCTCCTGCTAGTATGAGCTAGATTACTGTAAATCTCTTCGAAAGAATGTACAAAATTACATACATATTCTCTTATATTTTAATGCTTATCGAAATCCATGATATTAAGTTGATATTTATTTCTCCAGGATAATACTATCTGTATGACTGATATGTCATTTTATAGATTATTGCAATAGTCAACAATAAAGATTTTATCCTGTATCTCGATGTATCTTACGTGGAATAATGTTAAGTCTAGCATTTTAATAATTTATCATCAAATGTTTAAAATACTTTAGGTTAATTGAAGAGATTTTCAGTGAATGAATTTCCCTATTTCTTTAGAATTCTCAGCACAAGGTATTTAATCTTCAGACTACTAAGCTGATATTCAACGGTTTACATGTATAACTTCACTAGATTCAAGACATAGCAGGATCATTATCCATTTTCATTGATAATATTTATCTAAAACCCAACATGAAGTTCTTCGCTAGTGAGTAAACGATGAGTTTTTAGCATAAAGGGTTGTTGAAATTGCTGAGCTCCTTTTAACACCATAAACCAACTTTAGTCAAACCTAAATCAATCCGTGACATGAAGCTTTGAATTCCTGAATCTCAACAACACCTTATAATTTTTTTAAAAATTCTAAAATAACTAAGATCAGCTAATGAAACATTTATAACCAGACGAGTACTGAACAAGTAGCTTAAGACTTTATAATCAGTGTACTGTACAACCTTATTTGAGTGATCAAATCCACAAGTATTAAAGTCTCATAATAAGAGTATTTTCTTTCAATAGTTGAGATCATGAGTCAATTGAAGCTAGACCACCATGGAAAACCTGATGACAATGGTGGATGTGTCGCTCAATTTCGTGGATTAGTTGAAGTTAGACATTAACACCGTTGGACGACGGCTCAGTGGTCTATTTGGTTAAACGCTTGACGTGATGCTGATAGATCCTAGGTTCGATTCCCGCGAGGCGGGATCGTGGATACGCACTGCTGCGAAGTCCCACAATAG